CACCACCATGCTCTGTCTCTCCCCTTTGTGTCGAGTGGATGTATAGAATTTTTGAAATCAGCACAGCAAGCTGTGAATGATGCATGAAATGAATAAGCTGAGCCTGGTACAAAGGGGAAATCCTGAAGGCTTGCTGCAATCACTGCTCTACTATTTCCTATGGCCTGCATAGAAAAGATGCATAATATTCTCCACAGAGACAAAGAAAAAAGCTCACCGAGGCCAGAAGTCTCAATCAGAAGCCCCAGAAGAGATAAATGACAGCAGCTCACAAGTTTTTAACGTTGCTTAATTTCCCTCTTATTGCTAAGCTGTTGCCTGGCTCTCTCATCTCAGCCCTGGGTGCACGTGGAATATCCACACAGGGATGGGGGCTCTGAGAGCCCAGCTCACTTTGCATTTCTTTGGAGGCAGCCCAGTTTATGCAGGAGTTTGTGTTTCACACCTCAGCCCATCAGCCAGGGGAGTTTGCACCAATCCCCCAGCACGGGATGGCCAAAGCATGGAAAAAGGTGGAAAAGGTGCAGATTTTTCCACAGGATCGACGGGATGTGTTAAAACCCCATAACTTCTTCCTCATGTGGACTTGAATCAGAGATTTCACTAATACCAGCACAAGTATTTTCAAACCACACTCAGATTGATTAGTCTTAATTTGATGTATTGCTGAATAAATATAAATATATTATAGTTGAACCGAGCAACAGCAATAAACATGAGCATCCTGAGCACAACACTGAGGTACAGAATTATTTCTTTTCATCAAGGAGGTGTAAATACATCTTTATATGGATGTGCTGTGACCTCCCCCAGTTCTCTTGCTCTCTCATGCACATTTGCTCAAGTGCTTTGCAATCTCCCCTGCTGCCCTAAGAAGGTAGAGATATTTCAGACACTGGAAAACTGAGGTTTAATAGGGATACTGAGCTTCTGAGGATGCCTCTGGAAGAAGCAAATCTAAAATCCTGTTTGCTTGACTAGCAACACAAAGAAGCTGGCTGTGAATGGTATTCACAGCAAAGAATAATTAATTCCTCATCCCGAGGATGTTCTGTTGGGAAAAAGTCACTGTGTTGCACTGATTGTTGTGTCCAGTGGCATCAATTAAAAGTTGTGATAGGGAAGTAGGTGGAAAACTATTCTGGAATCTACAGTGACCACTAAATTACCCCATGCAAACACATCTGCAAGAATGGCTATCCACAACTTCCTTGAGAAATCATAAAAGAAATGGATTCAAATTTTCTCTCTTTCTTATTACAGTGTTTTGTCAGAATTTAGTGATGAAATTTACCATAGAAATAATCTGAATCTGGAGCATGAGAATAAACTGGATGTGACTACAAGAAATCAAGGATCAAGGCCTGTGTAAGTGGAGAAGAAGCCATATCAAGCTTCTCACTTTTGCAGGCACTGGAAATATTCAGCAACATTCCATCTGAACATCACCCAGCTTCAGATTTCAGGTGTTCTCATTCCCAGGAAATCATCCTTCCCCTTAACACTGGAGGATAGTTAGACAAGTTCCTATCTTCCTCATAATGTTCCTGAGAAGTATCTTTGTTAGTCCCATGTTTGACATGGGACAGCTAAAAAGATAATTTGTGAATGTTTTCACGAAGTGCCTATGCTAATGCTTTTCCTGAATTTATTTATCATCTCTTCTTGTAGCAAAGAAACTGTAGAAATACAAAAATGTATGGTTTAACATGTATTCTTAAAATACCCACAATCAGTTTCCTCTGCTAATTATTTTATTTTACTGTTTCAAAAATTTAATTTGAAGTATTTTAACTTACCAACTTTTGTTGCAATAAATTAACTCTGAAGCTCTTTGGCATAGGAAGGGACCATGAAAATGCAACCCAATACACGGGGTTTTGAAAAACCAACAGCACCAAGTGTTGTCTTTCACTAAAAAACATATTAAAACAAAAGCCTAAATATTGTCATTGCACTTTAATGCCAGCATCAACCTCTCCAGAGCTAGTGCTCTGTCATTATAAAGGGTGCACTTGCATTTATCCTGGATGTTGTAGAATAAGGCTGGAGTTGTTTCACTTGTGCAAAGAGTTGCTGATGATGGTGCACAGGCAACAACCCAGCACTTCATGGTTTGGAGTTTTACCTGGTCTCCCTGTGAATGTTAAAGGCTCCATTCTGAGCTCTCCCACACCAGCAGGAGGAGGAAATCCTGCCTGGGCAGTGCTCAAAACGGCATTTAGATTTAATTCATGCAGGAGAGATGTCAAGGGCCAGATACTCTGCAAATTTAAAAATGGAGCTCAGCACAAGTAAAACAAACCTTCATCAGTTCTAAAGAGAACATATTTCTGCATTTGGTCAGGAGGAAAATTTCCTGGACCCAAGCAAAGGATGTAACAGTGCTCTTTGGGAGGGGGAAAAAAATTGTCTTCCAGGCAATGTGTCCCTCTATGCTGTTGGTTCTCTAATTAAATCACTCCTGTTGAGGGAAGAAGAGGCTGTATCTGTATTTGTACTTAAGGCTGGGTTCCACGGGTCTGTCCCAGCCCAGTCTGTGCACCTGTTCACAACCCTTCTCACAAGCTCTGACCTCAGTTTATGAACTTTGGGATAAAGTTTAGCCCCAGGAAGCCGAAAACTGCATTGGGAGTTTTACCTGGACATCTCAAAACCAGTAAATCAGGAAAAGCAGCCCTAAGCCAAACCACAGATGGGAGCTTCCAGAAGGAACAAGGCAGAGACATTTATACAGAGACCTTTTTCTGTGACTCCTCAGGAACTTGCTTAGGCCCTGACTCATGGTAAACAAGGATAACTTGAGCTTAAAAATACTGCAAATTTTGAAAAACAGCATTTCTCCCCTTTCATGGCAGAGAATCCACTTCCACAAAACTCAGATGTAAAGAACACCTATTTATAATGATGCAGCTGCAGTTTGACTCTGAAGGCTCCAAGTACAATTCCAGTGCTGGCAGCTGCTCAGGAACCCTGGCTTTTGTCAGACCTGCTCCTGCACACCTGCCCGGGAAGGTGGAGGGAGAATTGTTTTAGGGAATGGGAATTTCACTCTTCCCCACTGAGAGCACTGCCAGTTCTGGGGAGCACTGGGGACCAGTTTGACTCCCAGCTGAGATGAACTCGGTCCTGCTGCTGCCCTGCTTGCCTGTATCCTGTGCTCTATTAACACCACTGGTGCTACCACCTTCTCTCAGACCTCCAGGTTATTTATGGATCTGCTTCTCCTCAAGGGCTAGAAGTCATGTTACCAGCTGCTGTCCTCTACCTGAAGGACAGCAGCACCACAGGCTTGCCAGATTTCACCAGAAATCCTACCAAAGAATCGAACTGTGGGTGTGAAACACGCTGGGCTCTCATTCACAGAGTGGTCACCCCCAGCCCATCCCGGGGGCAGTGGTGGTGCCAGGGCTTTGCCGCACTGACCAGAGGGCGGCCCCAGCCCCGGGAGGGAGCAGCGTGCGGGGCTCCCCGATGTGGGATGTGCTCCGGGACCTGTCCCTTCCCCGGGTGGCCAGGAGCCCCGCCAGCGAACCGGGCTCCGGGGGATGTTTGCAGAGCATCCTCGCACCTTGGGAGAGCCCGACGAGAGAGAGCCCTGCCCGAGCCTGGCCGTGCCGGCCGGAGGGGCAGGCAGGAGCCGCTGCCGGAGCATCCCCGCTGCGGGAAGAGAACGCGGATGCTGAGACCCGGGCAGCCAAGGGCCACAAAGTGTCCCCGAAGCTGCTGTCGGGAGGGGTGGCAGAGCAGGTTCCCGTCCCCAAACCCCAGCAGCGCCCTCACCTTCCCTCTGCTCCTGTCCCAAGGCAAACAGCGGAGGGGCAGCGGGAGCAGGCGAAGCTCCATGCGGGGAATGGGATGGGATGCGCTGCGGAGCAGCGAGCTCGGAGCCCGGGGACACACGTGGGGACCCGGCCCGAGCAGGGCTCGGAGGGAGGGAAGGAGAAGCGATCCCAGCTCCGCCGGCATCCCCGGGACTCCGCGGAGGCTGTTCCACAGCGCAGCCACGAGTAATGCACATCCCTAAACAACAACAACAAAAAAATTAACCAAAAAAATATTTTAAAAGGCGAGGAAAGGAAAGAAAAGTTGTCCAGACGCAAAGCACTCGTCAAGCATATTGAAAAGATTGAATTATTTATTTTCTCTGGGGACTCCTGTAACCATTCATTATTAATGGAGCCTAATTAAGAGCTCCCCAACGGGTTTTACTTTTGTAAATATTTTAGATGACCGGGCGTTTCTAGGCAAATCTTCCTGACAAGAAAAAAAAAAAAAAAAAAAGGAAATAAAAAGCACAACAAGCCGAGACAGAGATGTAATTCCCTTCGCTCCCCGTCGGCCGAGGGAAAGCAGCCGAGCGGAGAGGCAACAAGTGGCCGCGGCTCGCAGAACGACAGCGACGCTTCCCCGGCCAGGCTCCCACTTCACTTTAAAAGAAAAACCAAATCCAAGGAGCGCATTCTCCCTTCTCCCGCCCCCCAAAACACAGCCGGGTTCGGCAGCCAGAGAAGCGCAGCCGAAAAGCGCTGGCAGTCCCGGAGCGGCGGAGGGGCCGCGATGCTGCGGGGGAGCCCCGGGATGGGATCCGCACAAACCGCCCGGACACCGCCGACGTGCTTGATAGAAAATTTATTGATCTCTCTTCGTTGGGAAGAAGGAAGCAAACGAGGACTAGGAACAGGGAAGGAGTATTTCGAATACTTTTTTTTTGCCTTTTTTTTTTTTTTTTGTGGGAAGGAATCCGGTAACAAAACTAAAACGTTTTTTCATCCGATATGTCAAAACATGGTTCACAGTAAAATTCACAAACCCATTTACATAAGTTTACAGTTTAAGAAAAACCAAGACACACAACTTACTATAAATAAAAGAAATGCGTTTGCGACCCGCACACAGCTCTGCTCTCTCCCACCTCCCCCTTTTCAAGGAATAAAACCTCAAAATTAAAAAGTCGTGAAAACTACAAATTGTGGCTAGAAACCAAGAGAGGGTCGGTAACAAAACACTTAATAAACCACAGCTATTATGTGAACAACCGAGTTTAAAAACAAAAGCCCGCGGTTTTTATGTCATTGCAACGCTAGAAATCAAACTGGAAGATGCAAGATTTAAAAAAAAAAAACAAGAACTTTTAAGCGAATGAAACAGTGCCCAACCTAGCCGAAACCAGGAAAGGAGTTGCCGTGGTTTGAAAACTTCACAGCGGCTTCTAGGAGGCAGGAGTTGTGCTCTATTAAAATAACAACTTGCTCAAATATCTCTTGTACAAAAAAAAAAAAAAAAAAAAGACACAACTAACAGATTTCCTTTTTAAAATTTCTCCAGAGTTAGTATTGAGTCTGCTAAGCCGAGCAACACTGCCGTACGTCCCGGTGTAGTCAGGGAGCGGTGCTGGGGTTAGGGATTAAGACGGGGGGAGCCGTCCGGAGCAGCCAAGTTTATATGTGAGTTAGTGGTACGGTACCATTCACGGCAGTCCCGGCACTCTGGTAGTGCTGGTGCACGCTGTGTAACCTGCTGCCCTGCAGGGCCGAAGGGTCTGTGGCATCCCCCCCGGGGGGCAGGTACATGCTGATCATATCCCGCAGGTCTCCCAGGCAGGCCCTCTGCGAGTGGGAAGTGATGGCCGGAGGCGGCGAGCTGGGCTCGGATTTCACCACGGAGCCCATGGAGCCCAGGCTCATGGCCGTGGAGGGCTGCTGGCCGTAGGCGGCGGGGGACATGCTGTAGGTGGAGGCGGCGTTCATGTAGGTCTGGGCCGTGGACATCATGGGGCTGTACTGCAGGCCCGTCATGTCGTAGCGGTGCATCTGCTGCAGCTGCGGGCTGTTCATGCCCGGGTGCTGGCTGTAGCCCAGCTGGTCTTGCATCAGTGAGTAAGCCCCGTTGGTCCAGCCGTTCATGTGGGCATAAGTGTCAATCCTCTGCCCCACCCCGACCGGGCTGCTCACCGCGTTGCCCCCCCCCGGGGCCAGCAGATTGCCGGGCAGCGAGTATTTGTCCTTTTTCAGCAAGGTCTTGGTCTTCCTCCGGGGCCGGTATTTGTAATCCGGATACTCCTTCATGTGCACGGCCCGCAGCCGCTTGGCCTCGTCGATGAAGGGTCGCTTCTCGGCGTCGCTGAGCAGCTTCCAGTCGGCTCCGAGGCGCTTGCTGATCTCCGAGTTGTGCATCTTGGGGTTCTCCTGAGCCATCTTCCGCCGCTGCCCCCGCGACCACACCATGAAAGCGTTCATGGGGCGCTTCACCCGGTCCTGGTCCGAGCCCGCTCCCGCTCCGTTGCCGGCCCCGCCACCTCCGCCGCCTTTGCCGGTGCTGCCCGGAGCGGGGTTACCCCCGGTGCTGCCCGGCGTGGGCTGCGGCGCCTTAATCTCCGTCTCCAGCATACTGTACATGGCCGGGGCCGGCAAAAGGTGCGCCAGGGCGGCGGGCAGGCGGGCACCGAGCACGGAGAGGAAGTTCGAAATTAAAAAAAAAAAACAAAAAACAAAAACCTGTCTGGGCGGCTGCGGCGAAAGAAGGAGGAAGTTTCTGTGCGTGGCAGAAGCGCCGCTCCCCGAGGTGCCGGAGCTGGAGCGGAGCGGCTCCCGCGGGCAGCAGCGGGCGATGCGCGCACGGATCGCGGGGGTCCGTGATTGACGGGCTATAAATGAGGGGGCGGTGGCCAATCAGAGAGCGGTTCCCGACAGCCCCAGGCCGGGAGCTGACCGGCCGGGGGGGTGGGCGGAGGGACCCGGGTTCGGGGATGCCGCGGCCGTGATTGCCAGGCCCCTCCCGCCGTGTCCCGCATCCCCCTCTGCCCCCCGGGGCAGAGCGGCTCCCGCAGCTGCGGCCGGGCTGGGGAAGGAGCTGGCCGGGGGTGCCCTGCGGGGAGGAGGAGGGGGAGCTGGGCACAAAGAGGTTTGGGGCTCCCGGGGGATGCAAGCCCCATGCCAAGCTCGGAGAGCCTGCCTGGAGAGAGTGAGCCCGCACTGTGCGGACGCACTCCGGAGCGGATGAAGAGGCAGGGGAAAGATGCTTGGGCTAAACTCTTCCACTCCTGAGCTGTCGCTTGGGGGAGAATCTACCTTGCCGTGCCGGGATCGGGCACGGCTGTCGGTGGGAGAGGGGCCGGGATGGGTGGCTGCTGGCAGGGCACTTTCTGCCATCCCCACCTACACCCACCCCAGTGCCACTTGAGCTTGTCCTCTCGGCTGCCCCAAAAGGGGAGTGGGGATGGGGGGAAGGGGGGGGGGAGGTAGAGGAGACGGCGCTTGCGAATCCCCCGAGTTTCATGGCAACAGAAAGTTCTGTCCGTGTGAAAGAAAACTTTGGCGGCGGATATGTGAGCGGAGAGGCGCCCACTTGAGCTGTCAATCACCGGCTTCCCTGTCCGTCCCTCCCCTCCCTTTACCCCTCCTTCCCTTCCTTCGCCAGAGGCACGGACACCGCACCTGCACGGACAGGGCTCGCTGGAAGCACCGCGGGCACAGCGCTCTCCGCCGGGGCGGGCAGGCTGGGCTGGGCTGGGCTGCCCCATCCCTGCTCTTCCTCCTCATCCTCCCGCAGCCTCCGCTCCAGCTCCGTCTGGAGGAGCCGGGCTGCACCCCTGGGGCAGGAGAGGTAAAGCGAGCCGCAGACAGCTCGGGGAAAGCCTCGCTGCCTGAGGATGCGGGTAGCATCGCCGCTGTGGATTTGATCAAACTGCCCCAAATCTGGGGCGTGTGGGGCGCCTGGGAGGGTGAGGAACCATGAGGTGGGGACGTGTCTGAGCCTCCCGTCCCATCCCGTCCCGTCCCGTCCCGGGCGGCCCGGCGAGGAGCGATGCTGCCGCCGCAGCTCCCGGCTCGGCAGGCAGCGGTGTCACCCCAAAGACGAGCCCGCGAGTGTAATGACGGTAATGGGTACGGGGAGAAGGAAACGTCCAAGGCAGGCTCTGGGCTGCACAGGGAGCTCCGGGCCGGGCCGGTTCGGCAGGGCGGGCATGAGGAGCGCCCGGCCCCGCTCCAGCCCGCACGGCGCTTCCTGCGGGAACGGGGACTGGGCGGGACTGGAGGGACTCTGGAAACAGCACGGTGGCGTGGAGGGGTTTGGTTTGAGCCGATCTTAGCACTGCTGGGATCTAGCAATTGAAGGTCTCACTCGTTTTGTACGGATTTATTTTTTGACAAAATGATCTGTTGAACAACGTCGAAGGGGAAATAAATCCCGCTTGCGGCCGCCTATGGTGTAGTCAGCACTGTTTTTTTGCTTGGTTTGCTGCTGGTGTGTTGAGGGAAATCAAAATTTGGCAGGGGGGGACAGGGTGACAGCGGAAAGGTTGCTCCAGGCGGGAGTGATGCGCGTGTAACTTTTGCAATATATTGGAAAACTTCAGACAGCCGTAATTAACTTCTGATCCTCAAAATAATTTGTCCCCTCCAGTCGAGGTTTGAGACCTGCCAGGCTGGCAGGAAATCGGACTGATAATGTACACTGACAATTCTTTAATATTTCTTTATATGAGCGTTTGTTGGAGGGACTGGTCACGCTGGCATGCAACGAAAAATTGGGCTGTGTAGAGAATTAGAGGAAGTGCTGAAATCCCCCTGAATAATGTTTCCGTCGATGTATAAATAAATATTTTACAGCGTAAAGTTTCGGACTCTTACTTTGCCTTTCAATTCGTCTTTGAACTTTTTTTCCCCCTAAAAGCCAACGAGCTCTTCAACATTTTAAGGTCCCATATTTCAAACCAAGATAACATTTCTCTTGAAGCATCGCTAATTTTGTAAAAGAACTGAATAAAAATATAAGTACGGACTGATGGATTTCAAGACTTAACAGGTCCCGCTGTGCTTGTCTTTTCATGCAGCACATGTTCTGAGGAAAAACTTCAAAACCCGGCTGCTCGCTGTTTCCAGAAGGGGTGAGCAGGGACTCTTTGCCCCAATCCCTCCGCCTCGGCGTTAGTGCCGTGTGCTCGAACGCTCGGCTGGGATTTTGGGAGCGGGAGGAGAGCCCTTCCCTCGGGGCTTTCGCTGGGAGCTTTTCCCGGCTGAGCCCTGCCAGGGCACGGTGCTGCCCGTGGCTGTCGCCACTCGCGGATCGCCACCCTCAGCCCCTTCCCGCGGCCACCCCGCACCTGTCGCTCTGTCCTTCCTTGTCCCTGCCCTGAAAACGCCGCTGAGGAGGAGCGAGGCGAGCCCGCTGCACCCAGCTGCTGCTCCCCAAAGTTACCTGAAACGCGCTTTAAGAGACCCCCCCCCCCCCACCCCATTCCACCACGCTCTGGGCAGCAAATTCAAACCTCCGCCTGCTCCCCGGGACCGGGGATGGAGCCTGAGGAGCTGCCAGGATGCAGGGAAGGCGCAGAAAGCAGGAGGGGACCAGCCCGGCACAATAAACGGGGCGAGGGGAAACCTGATGCCCGGAGCCATTTTCTTAAACTCACTACGAGGGAAGTCCCGTGTGTCTGATGGGGGTCGGAGAACACTTGAGGTCGTGTAAATACAGTTGTCAAAGACTGAGGAGCCTTTTATTATTGTTATTTATTTATTTGGGTGACAAAGGAGCGTGAGGCGAGATAAGGAGTTTACAGCACAACCCAACTTGAACGCGAGAGAGACCCCGCGCTTGAAAAGGGCCATTGGAAAGGGTCTGAGGGGGGATTCTGCGCGATCTAAGCTTAAATAAGAAAGAGCCATTAATATATGTTAATTGCAGCTCCAGAAGAACTCGGGGGAATCTTGTGTGTCAGGGAGGATCGCTGGGTTTTAAATAATAATTCTCTATACGAACCCGACCCCGTCTAATCCTGTTATTTAAAACATCTCCTTGGTCACCAGCCCGATTCCCGACCGAGATCAGCGAGGGCTTGTCCTCGAAATTTGCCCAGACAAGGGAGCTGGGCACCCCTTTCGTTTGGACCCTGCTGATCCTCGCTAGGTTGATCCTCCGAAAATGCCCAGCCTTTTAGCGATGCTTAAGATAAAAGTTCTCGTGATCCCTGTTCCGGGCTGGCATTCATATCCTGCCACAAAAGTTTTCAGCGTGGTAATGTGGCTGCTAAATGGGCCATTTAAGGCTGGTTCTACAGGCGAAGGTAGTTAGGAGATTTTTTTTGTTGTTGTTTTATTCCCCATTTAAGTGTCACGCCAGAACACAGCCCGAGATTGCCTGCGAGGCTGCTGCCTCCCTGGCCGCGGGGCTGACACGGCTGGGGCGACAGCAAAATCATTAATTCCGTCAAAAAGCTCCAACTCCTTCCCGTGGCTTCCCCAGCGCCTCGGTGTGTGGAGATCGCAGCTGTAGCAGAGCCTCCAGCTGTCCGTGCTGCTCGCCGATCCGGGGAGGCAAGGGTTACTTCTGATGACATCATTAAAAATCGCAACATTTAGGAACAAAAATCTGAAGTGCGTGGGTAAACCCGGCAGCGTCGTTTGGGCATAGCTGGATCCCTTTGAACTGAGCCTCCCAGAGCGTTCAGGAGGCAGCGGTGAATGTTGTATTTTTTTTTTTTTTTTTTAATCACTTCCCTCCCCCCACGCCCCCCCAGCTGAACTTTTATTTGGCTTCTGACAACAATAGCGGGCTGCAAACAGACCTCTCGGAGCGCCCTCTGAATAGACCCTTTTCGAGCCCGGATTGTTTCCACCGTCACAAAAAAACAACCAGTAGCTCCCGTTTTTTAATTGGGTTGTTCCTGGCCCTGGCTCATTCAGGTGTTCGCGAGGAATTTGTTTATTAGCCTTTGACAAACAGCCCCTCCTGGCAATCTCCTCACCGAGTTGTCTTCAGCGGGAGGGGAGCGATGCGGAGGGGGGCAGTTTGCTAATAAGGACTCTCTCCATCTCCAAGTTACCAATTAACAGAGTTGTGGAGGGGACCACCAGCACGGGACGACTCGCCAGGGCTCGCTGCGGAGCCCCGAGGAAACCACAGATTTAGCTCATGTGTTTTCACGCAGAACCACCGAGAGAAAAACGAGCCCGAGAATCGATGCTGAAGGGACCACCCCCGCTGTCCCCAGCGCCGAGCCTGGCAGAAATCTCTTCTTTCCCAGTGGACGATACAGTAACAGGAACTTTTTGCAACTTCCCCTCGCTGTTACAGTGCGAGCTGTACAAAACCCCTGAAAGAATGAATTATCCGGCCCTAGCACGGCTTGCCCGGGGCGGTGCTGGAGTTCCCATCCCTGGGGACACTTAAAACCCGCGGAGATGTGGCTCTTGGGGACATTGCTCAGTGATGGGCTTGGCACTGTCACCTTTACTGATCTCAAGGAGTCTTTTCCACCCTCAACGACTCCATCGTTCCCAATCGTTCTCACACCTCAGCTCCTTTTGCCCGCCCCGCCCCGAGCGCCTCGGGCAAGGGCAGCTCATCGCTCGGTGGCCCCGCTGTCCCCTCCTGTCCCCAAGGGACACAGTCCCGTGTGAGGTGGCCCCGCTGTCCCCTCCTGTCC